ACATCAGTGCAAACTCAGCCCTCCTAAGACCTGCTCCTTCCTGGGCCCACCCCACCCCACCGCCAACTCCAGGACACACAAAACCCTCCTGGGTTCCTCATCTCCCTCAATTCCCTTCCAGCCACCCCACACCCCTCAGCCCTGTCCCCACCAAGCAGCCAGAGCGTGCTCTGCAAAACTGACTCAGTGCACACCGCCCTGCTTCCACCTCCCAGCACCAACTGGATTCAGAACAAAACCGAGGCCCGGAGGCAGAGCCACCTTCTCCGACCCCTACGGCTGCCCTGCCTCTCTCAGCTCCTGCCCCCACACTGACTTAGCTTCTGTGCGCAGAGGCATCACACATGTCATTTTGGCCGCAGGGCCCCTCCCTCTGCCTGAAAGCTCCACCCTCAGCTGCTGTTTCTCACTCGGGTCACCTCCTCTCCTGACCTCCTGCAGCAGCCCTGGTCACTCGTATTGCCACAACACATTTCACTTCCCTCTGCACACTCACCATTATCCAGCACAGTTTTACTCAGGAGGCAGCAAACATTTCCATCGAGGACCAGAGAGTGGATATTTTCCACAGGGCGGGCGGGCTAGAAGGTCTGTCTTGAAACTCAGTTTTGCCATGGTAGCGTGAAAGCCGCATAGACAACATGTGAGTGAGTGGGCGTATCTGTGTTCCAATAAGCCGGCTGTGGACTTGTCCAGGGGCCACAGACTGTGGTCCCGGGTCTTAACTGAGAGGCCACCAATTTGAGGGGCCAGAGGTCAACGGAGGAAGCCTCCTGGTCACTGATATGACTGACCGAGGCACCTCGAACCCCACATGGCCCACGGTAGGTGCTTGATAAATATTCAATAAGCATCGTTCAAGGACTAAGAGGCAACTGCACGTCCTCACGTGCTCTGAGCCCCACAGCCAATTCCAGCTCGTGCCAGGCTCTGCAAGAAGCCGTTTAAGATGTGCAGTTAGTTCCCTTTGGCTCACGTGTGGTCCTGAGGAGGGAAAACGCAGTGCTCACACGGAGCTGACTACGTGCCAGGCACCCTTCTAAGACCTTTGCACGTCAATTCACTCGGTCAAGACCTGTGAGAAAGGTAGCCATCGCACCCATTTCACAGACAGAGACACTGAGGCCGAGTGTCCCCAACTGGTAAAGGTGGTCCAACTCCGAGGCCTCTCCACGGAGCAGATCGAGGCTGCCAGTCCAAGTCACTTCTGTTGCATTCCTAGAAAGTGGCTGGGGCGGGATTCAAACTGGGAGCTTTCTGTCTCCTAAGAACACAGCTCATGCAACGAGGGATGTTCCAATCCCTGGTTACCAGTAGGTCACAACTTCAGAGGAGGCGTCCAATGACGACACCTGCCCACCCCAGGCACACTGAGCCCTCACTGTTTTTCAAGCACACCAGGCCTTTGCTTGAACTGTGCTGTCTTCCTCCCCTTCTCTCAGGCCTCCCTCACATATCAAGGGAAGCCTCACTGAGGAGGAGATATTGCAACAGAAACTCCAAAGAGCCAAGGAAGCAAATGACAGATAAGGAGGATGAGTTTTCTAGGCAAAGGGCATAGCCTTCGAAAAGACCCTGGGGCAGGACTATGCCTGGGGTCTCAGAAACAGCGAGCCCTAAGTGGCCGGAGCAGAGGGAGGAGATGAGGACGGGGAGGGGACCTTGTGAATCATGGGCAGGAAGGAAGCTTAGGAGTCCTGGAGGTTGTGGGCAGAGAATGGGACCGGACTCCATCTTTAATGGGAGCCTTCTGGAGAGGGCTGCAGGGAGCTAGGAAGGAACGGAGGACTACGCCAGCAATGGATGGGACTGGGCCAGGTGGAGGCAGAGGAGGGGAAGTGGGTAGATGCTGGGTCCATTCTGAAGGCTGAGCTGACATAATGTGCTACCAGATTAAATGTGGGAGGGGCTGGGAGATCTGGGAAGAAGCCGACGCTGCTGAGATCTCACGGGAACGGGAAGGCCAGGAGGGAAATGGCCCCGAAACAACAGACCACAGCTCAGCCCCAAAGCCCACAGCCTGTCAAAGGCCTCACAGCGGGCTGCGAATGTGTCCCAGCTCCAGGAACCAGGCTACACACAACTCCTAAGGCCAGTGGAGAGCCCAATCAGGCCTCCTCTGGACCAGGACGTGGGAGCCCAAGCGTTTAGAGTAACCAGATTCTAAATACCAAGATACGTTTCACCTCCCATCAGATTGGCCAAAATGGCAGAGGCTGATAACATCTGAAGCTGGCAACGCTGTGGGGAGATGGTCTCTCTTGGCCCCTGCCACACCTTCCCGGGAAGCCACTGGGTATCTGATGGTCATTTTTCAATCTGCTAGCCCCGGCCCAGCCATTCCAAGGTGGGACTCCACCTTCTAGGAACGGAAGCACCCACATTCAAAGGCAAGCCATTTACTGCTTGTAACAGCAAAAGGCAACTCCAGAAACCTGACTGTCCCTCCGGAGGCTGGTGAATCAGCAATGGTTGGTGCCTACAGCAGCTGTTGCTAACACTCATCAGGCACTCTCCTCCCATTTTACAGAGGGGGACACTGAGGCCTCAGAGAGATCAAAGCATTTGCTCTTCAATGGAACCCAGGCAGTTAACTCAGAGATCCCCACCCTGTTAACCATGGCACATTATTCTTCCTCTCTGAAAAAAATAATCGATACCAACATGGGGGGGGGGGGGGACCCAAACTATTACAGACAAAAAGCAGGCAACTTACAGAATGACAGGCATAGTACAGCGGCTCTCCACCAGCCTGACAATCTCCAGGGGTCACCGGGCCATGCCTGGGACGTCTGTATTTGTCACAACCGGGGACAGGAGCTCCTGGCATCGGTGTGTGAGGGCCAGGGATGCTGCTCAACACCCTCCAGTGCCCAGGACAGCCTTCCCCAAACAAAAAATTTTCTGGCCGAAACCTGTTTGGCTCAGTGGATAGAGCGTCGGCCTGCGGACTGAAAGGTCCCAGGTTCGATTCCCATCAAGGGCATGTACCTTGGTTGTGGGCACATCCCCAGTAAGGGGTGTGCAAGAGACAGCTGATCAATGATTCTCTCTCATCGATGTTTCTAACTCTCTATCCCTCTCTCTTTCTCTCTGTAAAAAATCAATAAAAATATATATTTTTTAAATTTTTCTGGCCCAAAAAGTCAGTGCCAAGGAAAGAGACCCTGGGTGGCATGAACCGTCCTGGTGAAGAATATGCAGACCTGTTTGTGTGTTTGTGTGATTGTACAGCAATAGGAAAGGGGAGGACAGCTCTTCCCAGACTTCACAGAACTTAGGTCAGGAAGAGAGGGTTTGAAGAGTCAAATAAACCATTAGCTGGGAGAGGCAGATAGCTGTGGATTTCGGTGGCAGGCAGGGAGGGCCGGCCCATCTCTTCCTGGCCTTGTGCTCAGACCCGGCCACAGCCCCCAGCTGGGATTTGATCTGTCCCTAATCAGCTGACCTCACCCCTGATAAGACCAATGTTTGCCCCGCAGCTTTCCGGTGGTCTGGGCTAGTTTGTCTCCGATCAGCCAGGCCAGAGGGCTGACAGCAGAGGTCAGGGTGCTGAGAAAGGCCCTCCGCCGGGGCCCTCCACCACGTGTGGTTGCTAGCCAACCGAGGACACGGGCTGAACCAAGGCGGGGCGGCCGGATGGTGGGAAGGAAACAGGTCATCCACCAGGCGGTTCCAGATGGCGGTGGCAAAGGAAGCAGTGGGAGTCTTCCAGAGTCCAGGATGCTCGCTCTGGCTCTCTCCTCAGACACCTCTCCCAACCACACAGCATCTCCCTGCCTGCCAGGAAAGCTGTTGGAGGCCCAGGGGAGACGGAGGATGGATGCCCCTGTGTGTGTCCACAGGACTCCGCCCATCAAGGCGACAGGGGAGGAGCAAAGGGTTCTTTGGATCAGGAAACTTCCTATTTGGGAGCCTGTGACCTCAACGGAGAAGGAACCAGAAGGAACCGCAGTGGCTCGGCTCTGTACTCCGCCCCAGGTAAAGGGGGCCTAGAGCTGGTGGGCGACCTCGCTCCCTACCCCTGCTCTGCTGGCGGATAAGAATGGCAGGCCAACGAGAGGGGCAACCCGGGGGCAGTGGTCCTTCGTGGCGACAGCAGACCCCCAGTGTCCAGGGAAAAGGCTCAGAGGAGCCTCCTCTTCCCCGTCTCCTTAAAGGGCCCCCGCACTGAAAATGCCTGGAGATGTCATGCCCTCAGCCCCCTCCTGTGAGAGGGAGGTAAACTGAGGACCAGAAAGGGGAAGAAATGGCCAGTGCACCAGAGCTCATTCTGGTGACTTCCACAGAAAGAGAAGAGAGAGTCTAAAGGCAGACCCCGAAGGCCACAAAGATCATCCCTCCTCCACCCCAGCTAGCTACCCCAGGCCTACCTGACCAGTAAGGTTTGCCCTGTGAGGGGAAGGGGTGAGATCAGGCAGCTGACACCAGCAAGGCGTGTGGCCCAGAAGGTGGGTCCGGGCCGGGGGGCACATCAGGTGCAATCATGCCCCACCTCGGAGACAGGGCCCCCTCACTGGAAAGGGGGTGCTTCATCATTCCACACACTGGAAGGCGGTCGTCCCCGAGCGCCCTCAGCAGCAGGCGGAACTCACCCACCGCGCGTCCTAAGTGGGGGTTTCGCCGCCCCGGAGACGGGACCGATCTCCCCGCACGCTTCCCGAGCAGGATGCTCCACCCATAGCCTCTCAGAGCGGGGCCCCGCACCCAATCCCGCCCCCGGTCCGCGTCCCTCCACCAGGGATCCCGGGAATCGGCGCGGACACTCGGAGCCCCCAGGCGGGGCGTTCCACCGCCCTGGGGCCCGGGGCAAGTCCCCCGGCCCAGTCGGGGGGCGTTCCACGACCCCCCTCCCCCCGCACCCCGGAGTGGAACGTTCCGGTCTCCCCGCCGCGGGTCCCGGCGCCCCTCCGGCGCTCGGACGGGTCCACTGGGCCCGGCGGGGGCGGCAGGCGGGTCCGCGCGGGGCGCACACTGAGACGCGGGTCCGGAACCGTTACCTGCACCGGCGCAGCTCTCCGAGGACCAGGTCGCCTCCGAGGTCACGGTCCCGCCCTCGGCACTCTCCGCCTCGTCCGGCACCTCCAGCTCCATGGCCGCGCGCGCGGACCCGCCGGCGAGCGGGCGGCCGGAGGCTGGGACTCGAGGTGCGGCCGCCGCCGCTGAACAACAACCGCCGCCGACCGGAGGCTACAGGGAGGGAGCCGAGCCCAGCGAGCGGGAGGAGGGCGGGGCCGCGGCCGGGCGCTACGCCAACACGCACGGCGCGCACCGCCAATCGGAACTCGGGGGGCGGGGCCTGGGTGCTTCCCAAACCCGCGGCGCGCCTCGAGCGCCCCCACGCGCCCAGGGTGTGGAAGGGCAGCGCCATTCCAGCCACTAAACATTGTAATGGCATTATTATATACGAAAATAAATAATACTTACAATTAATAAGTTACTTATTACCATGTTATAAATAACACATGTTATTGTGTTAAATAGTTTAATATATATAGTAATTATGATAAGGTTTAATTTTCATTATGCACAATGTAAAATTATATGGGTTATGATACGTTATTCTAAATAAAATGAATACATTATATAAATAGTTATATATATAACTACTATATTATTCACTATATTATAAATAATGTTACATATAACATTTATAATATAATGATAAATATACATAATAATATTATTAAATGCTAGTCTCAGTGCCAAAGCCTTTGACATGCAAAATCTCCATAAGTTAGGGACCTGTTTTTTACTATTAGTATATTTCCAATAGCTAACACAGAACCTTATACCTAGGAAACAATGATTATTGTATAAAACTGATCAAGCCGTTAAAATCTATTGTCATTCCCATTTTACACATGAGAATCACACAAGGAACCATGCTGTCAATCAGTGTATTTATGTCTGAAGAACAATTGTATCACTGTTGTTAATAAAGTCTAATGGTGAATTTATTAATGATATGACTAGACAGTTATTTATTGTGAAGTCATGATTTGAGGAGTGATAAATGCTGCAGTCAGTAGTTTTATTTATAACCAATGGCTTCTGATGGGGGCGTGGCTGGGGTGTAGGGGAGGGGGCAGACGTCCTGCTAGTGAAGGTCGGGAGCTGGGATGTTTTCTCTCAGGCCTGCCTGACTCCAAAGGCATGGTCCCTCACCATTGTCGTGGGTGCTGGGGAGACATACCCTGGAGTTTGGTAGAGATGCAGAGTCTTGTACCCCGCCTCAGACCTCCTGCATCAGACGCTCCTGCGGTGGGACTCCACCGTCTAGGTTTCAATGAGCCCCTAAGGCCATGTGCATGCCCGAGAGAGTCTGAGAAGCGCCGGGTCAGACCACTGGGGAAGGGCTGGATTAGTGATAAGGATCATGAAAATGAAATTTAAAAAAAGATTTTTTTTTTCAAGTTTGATTCTGAACCTCTCCTGGTGGGTAGTCAGTACTAAAACTGAAAAATCAAGAAGTGGCAAAACAGGCATTGTTTAAAGATGCAGAAATGAATGTCAAGATAATTTAACTTAATCTAAGAGGATGGCACCTCTGAGAAGGGAGAAATTGTGGGTGACAATGTCACTGCTAATTTTAACAAACCTGAAAAAGAATTCGACTCTTTAAAGTGCATGTGTGTATAAACTTTAGTGTGTGTGTGTGTGTGTGTGTGTGTGTGTGTGTGTGTGTGTTTAATGAAAAGAGAAAAAAACAAGCTGGTGCAAGGGTCAGGGGTGGAGGGTGGAGGGTGGGAGGGGACAGGAGAGGAGGCTGGGAATGGAGAGGAGGAGGGGGCCGAGTCTGGGTGGGGCAGAGGCTTCTGGTCCTCTTGGTTCATCCTCCCATGTCCCTGCTCCCTTATTCCCGTTTTTTAATTTTTTCTTATTTATTGATTTTAGAGAGAGACATTGATTTGTTGTGCCACTTATTTATGCATTCACTGGTTGCATCTTTTTGGGCCCTCACCAGAGATCGAACCCCGGACTTTGGTGAATGGAGAGGATGCTCCAAGCAACTGAACTACCCAGCCACTTTTCCCGTTTTACAAGGCGGAAAACTGAGGCTGCCAGCGGGGCCAATTGCCTGGTTTCTGGCGCCCCCTCGTGGTCATATGTGCTAGCTACCAGCTAGGAGGGACCCTTGTCACTCCCATCCCCCGCCCTATATTCCATTCATTCATTCGTTCGTTCGTGCATGCATGCATGCATTCATTCATGCCACAAAGACTAATTGAGCACCTCCTGTGTACCAGGCACTGTTCTAGGCCACGGGGATACAGGAATGAGCAAGACAAAATCCCTGACCTCAATAAGGTGACATTCTAGAAGAGAGGTAAACAAGCACAAGATAGAAGATAGTTTCAGCTGCTAATACACCGACTGAAAATAGCACAGATGTGCCCACGACCAAACCAGAGAGGGTTGGACCTGCATCACCACCATTTGTCTACCATCCAGAACTGAAGTATTATTGCTGACATGTACACATGAGGAACTGTTTGACATTGAAATTGGGACTCAAAAGAGCTGCCGAGAAAGAAAGAAACACTACAGACTGATTCATTTGCCTCTCAGCATAACCATTATGGCCTGTCTCATTTCCGGTTCTTATAAGTGTATTTCTAGTATCACGTGATCTCACTCATCTAGGGGAAATAATGAGCAACATAAACTGGTGAACAAGAGCAGACCCGGAGACAGGGCAGCATCGATCAGACTGTCAAACCTCAGAGGGAAGGGAGGGGAGGGTAGAGTTAAGGGGAAGAGACCAACCAAAGGACTTGTATGCATGCATATAAGCCTAACCAGTGGTCATGGACAACAGGGAGGTGGGGACATGCATGGGGAGGGGTTTGGGATGGGAATGGGGGGATGAGGACAAATATATGATACCTTAATCAATAAAGAATTTTTATTTATTTATTTTAATATATTTTATTGATATTTTACAGAGAGGAAGAGAGAGGGATACAGAGTTAGAAACATCGATGAGAGAGAATCATCGATCAGCCGCCTCTTGCACACCCCCTACTGGGGATGTGCCCACAACCAAGGTACATGCCCTTGACCGGAATCGAACCCAGGACCTTTCAGTCCGCAGGCCGACGCTCTATCCACTGAGCCAAACCGGTTTCGGTAAAGAAATTTAAAAAAGAAAAGAAAAGAACTATGGCAATAGAATGTGATTTAAAAAAAAAAAAAAGTCAGGCTCAATATCTATTATTCATTAAGCACCTATTCCAGCACGGCCCAAGAACTACAATGCAAGCTAATGGCCAATTTTAAGATTGTAATGATTGATTGATTTTAGAGGGAGAGAGATATTGTTGTTCCATTTGCTTATGCATTCATTGGTTCATTCTTGTATGTGCCCCAATCAGGGATTGAACCTCCAACCTTGGTATACTGTGAGGACACTCTACTCAACTGAACTACAGAGCTAAGGCAATAGAAGCCAATTTAAATGTAAAATCTTAACCTTTAGCCCTAGCTGGTTTGGCTTCGTGGTTGGAGAGCTGGCCCTTGGGCTTAAGAATCATAGATTCGATTCAGGTCAAGAGCACGTACCTTGGTGGCAAGCTTGATCCCTGATGCTGGTTGGGGTGCGTGCAGGAGGCAACTAATCAACGTGTCTCTCTCACAGCGATGTTTCTCTGTGTGTGTCTCGCTCCCCCCCTTCCACTCTCTCTGAAAATCAATGGGGGGAAAATATCCTTGGGTGAGGATTAACAAAAAAAATGAAATCTTAGATGTTATTTTAAAATTTCTACTAACCACATTATAAAAAGCAAAATAGAAAGTGGTAAGTTTAGTTTAACCATATGTCTCATTTGACCCAACAGATGCAAAATATCATTGCAACATAGAGTGGATATTAAAAATAACAAGCTCTGAGGTACATTTACACTGCGGAATACTATGCAGCAGTAAAAAAGAAGGATCTCTTACCCTTTGAGACAGCCTGGAGGGAGGAACCTGGAGAGTATTATGCTAAGCGAAATAAGCCAGTCAGAGAAAGACAAGTTTCACGTGATCTCACTCATATGTGGAATCTAATGAACAAAATACTCTGATGAACAAAATAGACCCAGAGACGTAGAACCATGGAACAGACTATTGAATCTCAGGGAGAATGTGGGAGTGGGTGGATGCATGGGGAAAAAATCAACCAAAGAACTTATATGCAGCCGAGACCGGTTTGGCTCAGTGGATAGAGCGTCGGCTTGGGGACTGAAGGGATCGGGTTCAATTCCGGTCAAGAGCATGTACCTTGGTTGCGGGCATATCCCCAGTAGGGGGTATGCAAGAGGCAGCTGATCGATGACTCTCTCTCTCCCTTCCTCTCTGTACAAAATCAATAAAATATATTAAAAAAAAAAAAAGAACTTATATGCATATAAGCATAATCCATGGACACAGACAAGAGTGTGGTGAAGGCCTGGGGCAGGAGGTGGGGGCCAGCTAGGAGTCAATGAGGAGAAAAGGGGGACATATGTAATACTTTCAACAATAAAAAATGTTTAAATATATTTTATTGATTTTTCACAGAGGAAGGGAGAGAGAGAGAGAGAGAGCCAGAAACATTAATGAGAAAGAAACATTAATTAGCTGCCTCTTGCACACCATCTACTGGTGTGTAATGGAATGGAACCTGGGGCCCTTGAGTCCACAGGCCTATATGCTCTATCCTCTGAGCAAAACCGTTCAGGGCTAAAGATTTTTTCTTTAAGTACCATGTAAAAAAATAAGGAGCCCATCCGGTGTGGCTCAATGGTTGAGTGTCGACCCATGAATCAAGAAATCACAGGTTCGATTCCCATTCAGGGCACATGCCCTAGTTGTGGGCTCAGATCGCCCGTAGGAGGCATGCAGAGGCAGCCAAACAATGTTTCTCTCTCATCAATTTCTCTCTAACCCTCTCTCTTCCTCTCTCTCTCAAATCAATAAAAAAGTGTTTCTTAAAAATAACAAGCTATTTTACATTCTTTTGGGAGTACCACATCCTCCAAATCTGGTGTGGTTTTTTTATACTCAGCCACATCTCCTTCGTTGGGATCGGTCACTTGTGGGTAGTATCTAGAAGATGTGGACCTGTG